GTGACAAGTGTGCAAAGTCTTCTCTAGATGCTGGGACAAGCACGGATGCAGTCCGTGCCCTCAGCATGCTGACCCTCCCGCTGGGGATGCAGGCGCCCTCCCTGCTCCCTGCAGGGCAGAAGTCATGTGGTACCACCCCTGCACCAGCGATTTCAGTCACGAGCCCTTAGAGAAGCCTGAAGTAACTGCAGAGGCTGGCATTTGAATGAGCATTAAAGGTGGGGCCCGAGAAGGGAGATTCTCTGCCAACCAGGAGGGTCCAGAGGGCAGAGCCGTAAGGGTGGAAATTAGCTTGGTGGGGGACATTCGAGGGCAGAAGGAAACAGCCTCCTGTGAGATGGACGCCGTGAGCTGGGTTAGCAGAAAAAGCTGGGCTGTGTCTGGGGATGTCTGTTACTCTGCAACTTTCTTCCTCTAACCCTGAACCTCTCCAGTCCCTCTGTATCCTCAGTATGATGCAGGATCCCTGCCTGCTCTGATGACCTTGCAGATGAGGATGTTAGGAAGCTACACATGCCGGTGCTTTGCAGATGTGAAAGGGGCCTATGGCCTTGAGGGGTGACGTCATCACAGGGTGACTTTGATAAAAGTGGAGTGATGAAAAGCAGGGACTGAGGTTGAGGCTGTGGTAGATTCCTGTCTGGCTGTGGGACCTGAGATTTTGCAACCTCTTATGGAAGAGTTAATTTGTGATTTGCACCAAATACATGTTTCTGTCTTGTTTGTCTGGCCAGGAAGATTTGGGGACAGGGAGAGTCGATGTTACCCCACTTTTCTTGGTGCTACCATGTAGACTGTCACTCGTGTACCCCCTTCTAAACAGCAGACAGCATGCCTGGCCTGTCCCAGTACCATTTTGTACAAGACAGGATTGAGTGAAACTGGAGCCTTTTCTTCAACACATGCGGAGTAGTAGGACCAGACCCAGGGTGAACGTGGCCCAGCCTCAGCATCTTTCTTAATTTAAAGACCCGCTTGTCAATAGCACAGTATTGTTTTCCCCTGCACTGGAGCTGGCACCTGAGGCAGATCACTGACAGAAGGAATGGAGGTGCCGGTTAGAATTGTGGTTCTCAACCTGTGGGTCGTGACCCTTTTAGGGAGTCAAATGACCCTTTCACAGGGGTCACATATACCATCAGAAAACACAGATATTTACTGTTGTTATTCATAACAGTAGTGAAAGTATAGTTATGAAGTAGCAATGAAAATAATTTTATGATTGGGGTCACCACAACATGAGGAACTGTATTAAGGGGTCACTGCATTGGGAAGGTTGAGAACCACTAATTCAGAAGCTGAAGCCTTGGCACTTCCTGGCCTCAGCAAAACTGCATGTTATCTGGGGGAAGGGGCGAGCCCACCCAACCCGTGTAAGGCTGCCAGTGCCTGCCCCAGGGTCTTCTAGTCCCTGGCCTGTTTTCAGGGGACAGAGGCTGGGGTGCGGGCCAGGAGCTCTCTATTTCCCACTCTGTGGGGCTCACTGCTAACACAGGTTGGAGAAATTCAGCTTCTGGCCACTGTATGATTTGTGTGCTGGGTGTGGCTTTGTCGTACAGGGGCACCATTGGGAGCCTTGATGAGCTCTCTCTGGGACCCCTGGCCTTGGAGAGACTCTGGCTTGGAGCTACTTGTTTGGTGGACTTGCTATGGCAACCACGGATATCTAGCGCTTGAGGCAAGGAAGAGTTTGGAGGTTGGAGATGGCTGGACACGTGGCACCTGAGCAGCAGGGGTGAATGTCATCTGTCTGGGGGACACAGGAAGGCAGACAGCCCTGAGAAGCAGTCGACTCCAGAACATTCTAAAAAAGCAGCGGCTGGTGCTGCCTGCAGTGCCTTGGGAACAGGAGCTGCCTCGTGTCCGTCAAGGCTCCAGCAAGGCCACTGTGCGGCCTTTGGTACGCAGCAAAACTCACTGACCCAGAAAGAGAGATTTGAGTGGCCCCGTTTGCCCCCTCCCGGTCTGTCTCAGACTTTATTCCCAGAAACCAGCTTGAAGATTTCATTAGAAATCAAAGCATTGCTGGTTCTTTTTCTTTCTTTTTTTAAAGAAACACATTTGGCTGCCGTGACCAGTGTCCCTGCTCTGTAATGAAGGGGGCGACAAGAGTCCTTGAACAGAGACTGAGTTGGAACTGATCAATGGCATTTGCTCAGGAGCCGGCTAATTTATAATGTCACATGGGCTAGACTGGAAGACCCAAGAGGATAGGCTGTCTCTTGGCTTTCTCTCCCGTCTTTCCGTAAAAGGGAAAGAGAGCATACCTCCTCTAGCTGGTGATCACTCAGTGGGCGCTGCTAGACCCCAGAAAACCTCTCTCCTCTCCCTTCCACTGCCATCCTCTCTCACTCTGGATGCCCACTCCTGCCGTTGCTTAGTTCTGGCTTGAGCTAATTTGCAAAGGACACCTGTTCCTTCATTAGCCCCAGCTCCAGGTCCTGCTGCTGCGTCTGGGCTTCCTCCTGTTGAGTGAGCTTACACCCGGAGCAGGGCCTGCTGTTTGGCAGTCTGTGTGCGCTGTCTACAACTCAGTGGGCCCTGAACTTCCTCAGCAGTGAGACTGGTCTGTTCCTGAATATCAAAAGGAAGTACAGCCACTGTCCAGCTGTCATTGTCACCAGTGGAGCTCAGTCCCACCAGGGCCCTTACCAGGACAGACCTGGTGTCTGGCCTAAATACGGAACACTAAGCAGGTAGGCCCTCATCCTGACTCTCTGTCACCCAGTTGGCCCCAGGGACCCTCACTGTACCTAGGATTCCATGCATAGGGTTTCACAAAATGCAGAATCCCATGTCCTGGGGTCTTTACAAGTATGCACTGAGAATGAGGAAGATAGGTGAGGCTTCTGTGCAAGGGCTTCTGGAGGGTGACCCTGGGCGATTACAGCAGCAGGATTCTTAGCTGTCCTCGAGAATGACTCCACTACCACCATGTTTTTATGCAATAGAACATTCTAAAACTCAGGCCTGATGCACTATGACATCTGACCTTCGACAGGAGCCACCCCAAGACTTTTGGCTTTTTCAGCTGGACACCACGTTTGCAGCTGGAAACATTACATGTCAGAGCTGACTTGCCCAACCCCCATGCATACCAAGAGCCTGGTTCCCAATAGACCAAAATCATTCGGACACATTTTGTGTTTATGCTTCACCCTGTCAGCCGCTACTCTCTGCTTCAAAAGAGAAATTCATCAATGGAAAGTTTTCCTGAGTGGTAATTTTCCTAAATGACTTAGTGATGGCGCTGCATATGGCCAGGCTTGGCCAGGCGTGGTAGCTGTTGTGAGTGTTTTACAGTGGTCCAGCATTCCTGCCTGAGCTACACAACACCTGCCTTTGCCTTTCCAGAGAGTCTCTTCCTCTGTCTTCCACTGTCACCCAGGCCTAGACAAATGCTTCTCTATCTCCCTCCTCCCTTTTCCTGCAGAGAAGCAAGGCTGGTTTTGAAGTCCCCAGCAGAAAGACCTCTCCAGAAATCTCCCATCCCCAGTGACTGCCAGGGAGCCTTCACCCACCCTGGCTAATTAGAGCCTTTCTTAGGCAGCTCTGGAATTCTTCTGTCATTCATTCTCACAGTGATAATGGACTTGGATAAGAGGTCACAACTTCCTCCACTTCCTGCCCTCCTTGTGGAGGGGGTGGAGCAGGCTTCCCCCCTCCTCCGAGGAGCTCCCTCCTGCCTGTCACAGAGACTGTCTCATCATCTGCCCCCTTCTTGGCAGCTGTGATGGAGTCACCCCACCCATAGGGCCAGAGCCCAGCTCCCCACGGTAGGCCCCTTCCAACCGAAGTTCCTCAGGCTCCGAGCGGCAGCACCGTATGCTGCATCTCTGGTGAGTGTCATTAACATCAGCGTGATGAAATGGCACAGTGTAAATGTTAATAAGGGCTAATGTTTCCCCTGCTTCCGAGTGGCAGATTGAAAATGGTACTGTCTTAACTCCACCAAGCAGCTTTGAATCCCTCTGCATCCTGAGCAGCCAGTTTGGCATGGAGAGCCAGCCCTTCCCCCTCTGAAATACCACCGTATCTCCCCCCCACCCCCCAATTACTTTTTGTAAACCAGTCACATACCTCACAGGCCAGCAGTCTAAAGCAAGGTTCATTTTTTTTTTTTTTTTTTTAAGTTAAGCATTTTCCCTTGGTCTCCAAAGAAAAGAAAACAAAGTGGGCCAGTACCGCAGGCACCAGGTCCCGGAGCAGTTCACCTCTCGCCCTGGCGTTTTAACTCCAGCTCTCCTATGTAGATGAGGATGACCTTGACCTTCCAGTCCTCCTCCTTTCCCCTCAGAGTGCTGGAGCAACAGGCCTGGAATAGTGGGCATGTGCCACCACGCTTTGTTTACGCAGGGCTGGGGACTGAACCCAGGGCAAGCACTCTACCAACTGAGCTGCTTCCCCGTCCCAGTCCCTCTAGGCCTTTGCTGTCAGTTCAGGACATTTCCGTAAGTGGCCCCAGCAGCCCTGGCTCTCGTCCTCTGGCTTCTCCTCCTTGTTGAAAGATGACATCTTTATCCACTCAACTGCTTGTGCCTATCAGAGCCCTCTCGTCCCCTGTCCCCTCTGTCCTCTTTTCCCTGTGATGGTGAGGGCCTGTCTGGTATTCCTTCTGGGTCATCTCACTGGTGTTTCATCCCTGAGCGGCACTCAGTGTGGCACACTGCTGGGCCTGAGGCCCCTCATCGGTACCTGGTGAAGTCTGCAGAGTGGATTGGGTGGAGGGCCCAGGATTTAGCCTGGACCTTGCCTAGAAGTGGCGGTGACATCCAGGAAGCATGAGTAGCGGAGAAGTGAGGCTCTCACTCCCCTATCCGGCCATCATCCTTGGTATTCATCTTCAGCGATGCTGGTGGGCCTGGGGAGGCTCTGTCAGTTTGTCCAGGTGTTCACCTGTGTTTCTGCCATGCCTCAGCTGTGTGTGAGGCTCAGTCCCCTCACAGCCGGCTCTGTGTGTCCGCCTCTGCACACCACCTCATTGCTCTTTTCATCCCCAGGCCGTCTTCACCCTCCTCCTTGGTCCTTTCACCTTCTTCGATGTCCAGAAGACAAAGTATCTGCAGATCTTGACCTCTCTGATGAGATGGATTGGTGAGTCTAAGAAATCTCCCAGTTCTCTACGCTTCTCCCTGGTCCCTCCCCCCACCTCTGCAGAGAAGCCAGGCAAATTCCCAGCTGGGATGTGGCAGTGGCTCAATCGGCCTGCCTGGACCTCTGACCTTTCCAGAGGGCGAGGAGGAGGCAGGTGCTCTGTCGGCCTTTTACTGCTGGGGAAATTTAGTACCAAAAAAGTGAGTGGCTTTTTTCAGGTCACATTGAATGGATGGAACTGGGCTAGGACCTGAACTGCTAATTCTGGTCCAGCCTCCTTCACATGACCATACTAGGTTGCGCTGTGCCCCGTGGAAGGGACAGGAATACCATTCCGCCTAATCGGGTATAATGTGTGGCATAGTCATAAAAACCCAGTGGATCATGGTAGCAGCTACTTCTGAGCCTTGAGTCTTGGACCGCCGGAGTGTGAAAAGATATGCACGCCGTCTATAGTGACTTCTGACTAACTGATAACCAACACTTCTGCCCTCTGGTAGATGTTAGGGATCTTCCCCCTCAACCTGGGTTAATAGCCAGTGTGTTCACTTCCACCATATCATCCGGCCAGCCACCTCCGGGAAGGAGCCAGCCGCTGGTGCAGCAGGACTGAGAGCAATCAGCTGTGGGGCTGCCATTGCCTTTCCTCTGGCTATCTGTTGTGCATCTGACTTTCCCACTATAAAGGCTAAGAAGGGATGGAGCGGGCATGTCATTTAGTGGAGTGCTTGTCTGGTATGCATGAAGCCCAGGTTTAGCCCTCAAGTACTCAGGAGATAGAGATAGGAGAACCCCAAGTTCAAGGTCACATCCAGCTACAAAGTGAATTAATTCCAGGCCAGCTCCGGCTATGTGGGACCTGTCTGCACCCCACCTCCTGGCCCAGAGTTTCTAGAGAAGTTTGAATTGGGCTCCTTCTTCCTGGTTGTCCTCCTCAGCCTCCTTTACCCCCATCAGAACCAGGGCCGCAGGTGCTGCTGTTGCTACTGCTGGTTCCATGTGGTACCCCACCCATAAGGATGATGATTCTGCTGAGGGCCATTCACAGGAAGTATGTCCAGAAGTTCTGCTAGTTCTAGGACATTCTCCCAGCCCTGGCTCCCTCAGCACAGTAGAGGAACCAAAGGAGTCCTGACTTCCACAGTGGGAAGGCCAGTCATCCTCCCAAGAAACTAGAGCACATTCCGCAGCATGGGGGCCAGCCCCCCAACACCTCTCTAATCCAGGAGCCCCAGAAGCCTTGTTACCTAGAAGTCAAGGTTAGCGGGGGCCAGAATGCAATCCGTTTCTCCTCTCTTATATCTTGGCTTATGTGGTATGTGTGAGAGCTCCAGGGTGTTGTTGCTGCTCTTGTTGTTGTTGCTGATGCTGTTGTTACTGTGGTTGCTATTGTTGTTGCTGTTGCTGTTTTGTTGTTGTTGATGCTGTTGCTGCTGCTTCTGTTGTTGCTGTTGTGGGCGGGGTTTGGAGAGGAATGCTTTCTGTCCCCCAGCTACCTGTCTGTCTTGCATAGTTCCTTTCACTCCCTGCAGCTAGTCCTGCTGGTGCTTGCCTGTCCTTGGCCTGGGAAGGGGTTCTCTAAGCTCTGGTCTGAAGCTGAGCCCCTTCTCATTTCTTCCCATGCTGGGACAACACTGAGGGCCGAGCAGGAGGGAGTCAGCAGCAAGTGCTTTGGCCAGCGTGATGGACTCCTGTATCAGCCCGTAAGAAGACAGCAGTCCTAATGCTGAGAGTTAGCTTCTGTAGTTTTGACGGAGTGTCCATCTAAAGACAGAAGCCTGGGGCATGTGGTGGCACACATTATAATCACCACACTTAGGAGGAGGAGGCAGGAGAATCAGGAATTCAAGACCAGCCGCAAATGCATAGAAAAACCAGTTTAAGCTACATGAGATTCTGTCAAAAAGAACAAAAGAGGTAGAAGGAAGGAAAGCTTGTGAAAGGGAAATGAAGAGGTTAACAGTAAGTAAATGTTCCTTGCAAGTGCTAGGATTGGGTCAGAATTACAGCAGAACTCCTGATGCCCGCAAGCCCCAGATCTTGGAATGCTCCCACTAACCTGCCTTTGCTTCCTTTCCATTCTGCCCTCCCCTGAAATCCAGCCAGACGCCTGGGTATGTTAGGGAGATGGCTCGGTAGATAAAAAGCACTTGCCATACAAGCCTGAGTTTGGCTCCCCAGAACCCACATAAAAGCTGGACACAGTAGCACAGGGGTCTGGGATCCCAGTTCTTATGGGAAGACGGGGGCTAGACACAGAGTCTCCAGAAACTCAGGGTGTGTGCAGCAACAGACAGAAGAGTCTGTCTTAAAACAAGGCGGAGATGAAGACTGACCCCCAGGGTCATCCTCTGACTCGTTCACACACTTTCACCAACGTTCACAGGGACCAGTGCATGCTCCTAGCACCTGTGGTGGTTTACAGCTGCCTGTAGCTCCAGCTCCAGGGCACTCTGGTGTATCTGCCCCGCTGACACCTGCCTGCATGTGCAGAGATACACATACATACCCACATGCAGGCAGATATGCACACGCACGCATACACACAAACTTGATATAATAAAATATATTATAAAATATAATAACTTAAAATAATAAAAACAGGTGTGGAGAGGGGGCTTAGTCATTGAAGGCTAGAGCCCACAACCAAAACTTCAAAACTTAATCTTAAAGAAACAAAGTAAGGCTGGGTGGTGGTGGCACACACCTTTAATCCCAGCACTCGGGAGGCAGAGAAGGCAGGTGGATCTCTGAGTTGGAGGCCAGCCTGCTCTACAGAGTGAGTTCCAGGACAGCCAGGGCTACACAGTGAAACCCTGTCTCCAATAAAACAAAACAAAAACAGAAACAAAAAATAGAGTGGGAAGAAAGTTCAAGGCCAGCATCAGGTATATAAGCAAGTTCCTGACTCAAAGGCACTGTTCCTCTATGGGAACTGCCATCTTGCCTCTTACAGGGCAGAAGAGCCCCCAACTCTACCCTGATACTCCTGGGGCCTCCAAGCAGCCCCTGTGTGCTACAGAGCAGGAGACAGTGGTCTTGAGGGTCTGTGACAGCTGTGGGAGCCTGAGCAGAGATGCTGCTGTCTTGACATTGTCTTTGCGACCATTTGCCTCTCTTCTCCCTCGGAGTTGAGAGATAATCAAATGTCAGGAGTCTCCCAGGCACACTGCTGTTGGTGACAGGGCACAAGGCAGTCATTTTTCACTGTGAGAGACTCAGACCTTTGGACTTAAAAAGCTGGGACTCCCAGTGACAGAGCCGCCCAGGAAAAGGAAAATTGCAGTTAAGTAAACTAAACCATGGTGAGCATGGTTAAGCTCCCAGCTGGGGCAGAGGAACTGCCAGGACGGTTCTCTCCTCAACTAGAAGCAGGCATTTTCCCCTACCTGACTCAAGGTCTTGCTCTGAGGAGGACTAAGCAACGGAAGTCCCCAGAGCCGCACTAGACAGGCCCTGTTCATGGAAGGGACCTCAGCCTGCCCAGCTAAGGCCTGGGATGCAAGGGTGTCCCTCCTCTGGGCCAAGCTCACCCCCAGGCAGTTCTAGAACTCCGCTTGGGCAGTAATCTCAGAAGCCCTCGGGAGCCTCTGCCAAGTTGTCATTTTGCCTCTGAGAAGCAGCTGTGTGACCGGCCCCCACAAGACCCTCCTGCCCTCCCTCTACCCCTCTCTCTTCCCACCCTATTCCCCTCCCTTTTTAACCTCCCTCCTTCCCACACTTTGCCAACACACACCCTCTCTCTCCCCTCTCCCCAAATGAGGGCTGTCCCTTTTCAAGAGCTGAGCAGGGAGCTGAGGAGGCAGTAAGCTGGGTCGGGTTCCAGAAGACAAGAGGGAAGAATGGGCACCAAAGGGACCGGAAAATCGTGAATAAATGTGCTGAGCCGGAAAGTTTCTCTCACTTAATTAGGAATTTGTTCTGCCATCTGTTGAAATGAAGCTGGGGTCGATCACAGGCCCCCAGAGCTGCGCCCAGGAGCGCAGGCCCTGCCTCTGCCCTTCCCTCGCTTCATTAGTTGCTAAGTCCCCTTGTCGTCGCACAGTGGGATTTGAAGACTTAGATGGCCTTTGCAAATAGCCAGTTGTCCAGGGAAAGTGTCAGAATATAGGTGACAGATGCCAACGTGGATTCGTTTTTCGTGCCAGACTGGATTTTTTTCTATGTGTATGAGTGCTCTACCTGCATGTATATGTATGCATACTACATGAGTGCCTCGTGCCAGAGGGTCAGAAGAAGGCATCAGATCCCCTGAAACTGGAGTATCAGGCAGTTGTTAGCCGTCGTCGTTGTGGATGCTAGGAATCAAACCTGGGTCCTCTGCAAAGAGCAACAAGCGCTCTTAGCTGCCGAGCCATCACTTCAGCCCTGAGTGCACTTGGATAATAAATGCCTCTGAGTGCACAAGGACAAGGAGACCTCTGCTGCGTGAGCACTGCACCTTACCTGGGTGCCACAGCTGCTGGTTGTCCCTGCACCTTCTGGCCTCGCTCCCTAAAGGGGCCCAATGGCATCCTCTCCCACTGTGCACAGACCAAGCTTCCGTCCTCTGGGACCCTCTTGTGTGCCGTGGCAAGGAAGACCTGCCTCGATGAGGGCTGTGAAGGTGGAGTGAGATGGATAGAAGGTGCTTATTAGACCCGTGCCTGGCACCCGCTCAGCCCTCATGGCCTTCACTGTCAGCTGTCCTCAGAATGAACCTTCCTTGGGACTGGCTGTGAGGTCAAGGACATTACTTCAGCCGTGTCCAAAGAAACAATCTATGATGCCCAGTATCAGCAAGGCAGTCTCTTCTACCCCCTCCCCCACGCCCAGCTGCAGTCCCCGCACCCCAGCCTCTACTTGCTAGCGCCACCTGAGAGAGATGAGCAGACTCTCATGTTATTCGGGTATGGGGACTTATCTTTAGTCCCAGCCCTCTGTGAGCAGCAGGTGGCCAAGGGACATGTTGCCAGCTGAGGAGGTACCACCCTTCCCTCCCACGGGTCCAGCAACCCAGC